GCTAAAAATATACCACATATCCACTATGTCGATAAACAGGCATACGTGAATACCCATAACGATTTCTTTATAGGTTTTTAAAACATTCTTTAAAGTTGAATGAAAATTTCGTTAAATATTCCGACAAAAGCAGCAACGAATGGATTAAGGCGCTTCAATTGTGTGAACAGTTTAGTAACATGAAAGAAGAATATTATCCAAAGCAACACTTTTGACGGGACCTTCTTTTAAGGCGTAAGTATTTTAAATTTTCCATATCCATCAATTATGAAATTTTAGCATTACCTCCAAAATGTGTTTAATTGTAGGTTTCTTCGTTTATTTGTACAACCGCACCGTCGGAAGAGAAATACTAGGTGACCAAAGACTACAAGCACTTTCAAGCGCATCCACGAGGAAATTTTCGCTAAAGGACTGGGCCTGATCGACTTTGCCGGAGCCAGAAAAATAGTAGTCTGTAGCACTCATTCCATCATAAGAATATTCATCTGATAGACGGAAGGCACGCCTACAGTGCTTTGGATGTACGTAAGCTCCGAGGGTCGAACATTGACTCGGTCCACCATCTTGTTGCAGCCAAGATGCGAACACACCTCAGTGCAGCTAAAGATATGCGTCCAGTAACGTAAGCTCAATGTTGACTCTCACACCTGCCCTAGAGAGCACTTGTTAACAGACCGACATATGCGATCAGTAGAATCACAATTCTCGCTCAGTATGAACTGCCGCCGAAGAAACCCACGGATTTAAGCCAGCCCGAAATAACAACTGATACGATGAGGAACGTTGCACAGCTGCAGAGAAAAATTATGTCGCCTCCAACGCAACTCGAGCTACGTAGGTTCGCTATAGAGAGTTGAAGAAGGAAGCCAGACGTATTTTTTGTAGTATAAAGAGAAACGCCGAAAATGTGAAACCGGAAGTCTAGAAATGCTGGCCGACGAGAATATTATTTTGCTACAAATATAAAAAAATCGGGAAATATTCCGTATAATCAATTGTTCTTCCTTCAAAACCTTCAATAAATGATTGCGTTTTATGATATTACAATTAAATTTTTTTATATTCACGAACTGGGGGCCAAATATAGCAAAACTGTGTTTTAAAAGTTTTACTCTTAAGTCAGGATTATTTAACGACTTTGAAATTTCCCAGATTAAAATAATTCAGTGCAATGTAGAAAAAAATATGGGTACGAAATGAAAGGGAAGGTATTGGAAAATTTGAAAAAACCAAATATTACACATTTTCAAGGATGTTGAAGGATACAATTTTATAACTACATTTTTATTAGTTATTCATTTTATTAATCGTTTTCAATTGTACAGGATTTTCTCTTTTATTTGATAACCATATCTGTCTATCTACCCATATTGTTATTCTACATTGCACTATTTTTTATAATAACTTTTGAATCAAACATAACTTTGAAACTGCAAAGTATTTTAATGCAGTTTTCCTATATTTGGTGCCTAGTTTCGCGAGTATAAACTAAGAAAGAAAATATTTTAGCACTTGAACTTTGATGGACTTAGCCGAGCCTAAGATATCGACCAAAAATTGTCATCTTTCACACAGATGGTTTTTAGAGCATAATGGACCATACTTTTGCTATTGGGTCATTCCATTGGAAAGATGAAAACGAGCATAAATTTAAATATGCCCTAATTATCTCTATTTTTGTAGTAACCAAGGCCGTATTTAGGGGGGGGAAGGGGGGGGGGGCGGGGGCAGGGAATTTGTGAGTTCTGACTGATACCCAATCGTGTGACACTGCCTTTAAACTTGTATTTATACGGATGTTGGTAAAGAACGAACTATAAAAAACTAACCGAAATTAAATAACAACAAATATAATATTTTAAAACTTGTCAAAATTTGGTGCGGCTATCATTTTTTCGACTACTGTACATAAGTTGGCTATGATTACTCGGCCGTGCTATCATAGTAGCACAATGCCACTCATATTTGACTTACAAACAAACTACGGGCACAATGCCACTCATATTTGACTTACAAACAAACTACGGGCAGGAATTTCAAGATTTCAACCCTGTTTTTATGAAACATTTTATTTTTATGAGAATGTTTCTTTTAATCAAAATATGTTGAAATAAAAGTGAAACTAAAAAAAAAATTTGCTTTAAATAAAATTAAGAAATCGTTTGGTATTTTTGTTAAAGCAGTTTTATACATTAGTTATCATTCTATGTTAAAAAATATCTTTCGCTGTTGTATAAGTTCCGACGACATAGTTAAAATTCACAATTCATCACATTCTGGAGTAAAATGTCCCACTAGTCACAATGAAATGGCCTTATTACCAATCGAAATTCTAAAAAAAGAGGATTTTCGGCCCACGTACATACATACACATATACGAAGTCAAGGCCAAGTGTAAGCTCCAGCCTACCGAAAATGAGGTTTTCAACATTAAGCCAAAATTTTGAGGGTCAATTCAAAATTCTGAGTATACTCACCATTTTGTTGATTTTAAATAATTTTTTTTTGTTTTCTTCCATAGAAAAAAATTGTCGAACATACGTACTTTGTATGAAAATCCGTGAAAAATTGCTAAAAATCTAGTTTAAACTTAAAAACTTTTCCTAGAAATTCTTAATAAACAGTTTGCAATTTAATTAAAATTGTGCATAATCTTGATTGCTACCAAGTAATTTTTAAGCAAAAAATAAAGCCCACTTCAATTTTGATATAACAAGTTTAAGAGTACTGTTAATAATCGGATCTAAACCAAATTGATATGGGACCACCTCTGAGGTACCACCTTTTCTTAAAAAAAAAGAATTATAGAAATCGGTTAACGTGGTCCAAACACATAAAAAAAAAAAATATTCCGACGAATTCATAACCTCCTCCTTTTTTTGCAGTCGGCAGGTTGAAGGGGCAACCCAACGCACAGTATCCTCTACCCACTCCTACGGAACTTAACGAATAATACCTTCCTCTTATAGTTATAAGATACATACCGTTTATTACCTATGTGTCCAAGTAGGAGCCATATTAGTTTGAAATATGAAGCTTCCTGAGTCTTAAAAACAAATACATATTCTTTATAATACTGAATATTCTATATTATCATATATATTTATATTAGGGCGATTTTTTTTGCGACTATTGTTTTTTTTTACTCCTATCTCGAAATTTTGTGGAAAAGACCTAAAAAAAGCTCACTGAAAATTTGAACCCTTAATAATAACATTAGGTACTCGCCCAAGGCCATGTTTTTCCATAAAAAATACACGTAAACTTTCAGTTTTTTTCTTAAAATGTCTACAGCTCAGAGGAATTTTGTGGTATAATCCTGGTCAATAACGGGTTTTCTTCAGAATTGAATGCTCTACAAAAGTGTCCATTGCGGTGTAATCCCAACTCCCACCAGCGTGGTAGTACGGGTCACTGAATGCAATTTTTTCATTTAGTGTTAATATTAAGGGTTCAAATTTTCAGGGAGATTTTTTTTAGGTGTTTTCCACAAAATTTTGAGATAGGAGTGAAAAAAAACAAAAAATCGAAAAAAATCGCCCTAAAATATATATACTGAAACTTTTACTTCTACTTGAACTTTGCTACTTTAATTTAACTCAAAATTTATGGCACCAAAAGAGTCCGAAATGAGTCAGCCTTGTTGACTGTTTCAGAATTATATTTATGACGACAGAAAGACTCATTTTAGACTCATAAATTCTGAGCACTCAGAAAATTGTTTTTAGGGATATGTATGCACATATATTTCTTCTTTATATGACGATGGGAAATACTCTAAACCAAGAGGGGAACTGCGCAGCAACACTTAACCACCGGAAAATGTCAAAATTACGTTAGTTGCAAGTTTTGCGTTCAATAACTTTTCCTGATAATATTCTCTTCCTGTAAATTTTACTCCTTATTTTACTTTCCGCTGCAAGTACTTACTGGAAAAGTTATTGAATGGACCTACCTATTACTGGCCACTGCTTGATGGGACCGCACTCCAATAAAAACGGTGTACAGCCGAACGACTTCTGTTATACTCATAAATACAATAAATCTATGTTTGACCAGACTTCCAGCATTTTTCTCCACGAAAAACGAAACTATTCTGTTCTAGCCATGGCCAATTAAAAAAAAAAATNTTCTCCACGAAAAACGAAACTATTCTGTTCTAGCCATGGCCAATTAAAAATAAAACACCCAATTATAAATGTAAATCAATTGGAATAAAAAAAAAAATTGATATAGAGAGCTTGATAGTAATTAGTCCAGATGCGAAGGTGTCTGAAGTGTGTTAGACATTGACTATAATCACCACCCATCTATTTATTATTGCCAGTATTCCATAGCAACTAATCGGATGTTATTCATGGCCATTTTGGACTTGTTATACTCTTTTCACTGTTCATTTTGTAAAAGCGTGCATTTGCTTAATATGGATTGAGATTTATGTATGTAGTTATATGCAGGTGTGGGTATGCATAAATCACTAACTTTTTAACAGAGGCGCTTCCCTTGGCCATAACTTATTACCAGCGAATAAAAGGTTAGTGCGAGTTCAAGTGGGAACGGCAGTGTGCGGGCATGGAGCGTCTATATTTAAATTTCCCACCGTTTAATCGATGTCACGCATGCCAGTGCAAAATATGGGCAGAACATTTGTATTGCAATGCTGGCGGCTTTTAAGCGCTCAAAACTAACATCGTCAATGTACCGCGAAGCATTTGCGCATGAATCTTCATTTGTTATGCAGATGTCAACGTTATGTGAGCTATATAGAATTTGATGCCATCGAGCCATGTTTTCATTGACATACATATGTACACACTTATGTACATACAAATGTATATGTGTCCCCTACAGTAAATCAGATTCAGCCTTTTTACTTTGAGTACCGCAAAATTGTTTGAGTTTGTTGTTGTTGGTGTACTAAGCTCTCCCTAAATCAGCTAGTCTAACAAATATTGACGGCTGTGTGGGCCTGATTCATATCTGGCCAAGGACTGTTACTCCATATGATGTTACAACAGCAACAACAACGAGAACAAAATGTTGGGTTTGTAGTCGCCGAGTATGGATAAATAGAAGGTTAACCAGTTGCAATATCCAGACTCTAATTGTGTCTGAGTTATGCCGACCTCTGGCGGCAGTTGAAGCTCTTCTCTTTGGTTCAGGTGGTAAAAAGAGTTGCCGTTGATCTCTTAGTGGTGGTGGTGTTAAGGAGCATTGAAAAACAAGTCATCTTTGCAAATCGATGTCATCTGGTGGAGGAGGAGGGTGTGATTTATATTAGAAGTTAAACAGTAGTAAAGAGGAGGTGCCGCCCGCGGGACCATTTTTTAATTATTTATGGGTTTGAGATGTCTTTTCTCTATCTTTAAGCCGCACTGTGTGAATAACTTTAGCTTTCGGGATCTGCCGATCATTACTAAGATCATCATCTCTTCAGAGATTTTGGTTAAGGATATCATTTAATCTACGCGCCTATGGTCTTAAGCACCTAGGTAGTACTATGAACTTTACAACAGTCATGATGATGTAATGCTACGAACAGATTGTGCGTATCCATTCGTTGCGAGAGTTGCGGCAAAACGAATTGGAGTTTGAGTGGACCGAAGCAGGTTTCTGGTCAGCGGTTGGACTCAATGCCAGCGCGAAATAAAGTGATACTCCAAGAACTGACAACCATTCGAAGGGTTTGTCGATTTAAACCCGAGTCACTCCGGTCTGATCTGAGTTTTGCAAGTTTCATTCAGTGCTTTTTTACTGTGTTTTAAATGTCTATTGTGCATTAGGTAATGAATCATTTCTTTAGACCCCATATTACTACTGCGGGGTAAATCTTAAGTATGTATGTATGTACATATGTTAATGAATACATATATAAAGTTTATCTTGCGCTTGAGTGATTTCGAACAGAAAGAGCGGATCTGTTTAGCTGAAATGCCGCATGACTGTTATAAATATGTATTGTTGTTGTTCCGGGAGTGCAACCCACTTTTGCGGCGTTGGTGGCGGGTTCGTTGCCTGGGCTAGTTTGCTGCTTTTAACATTAAATTTTTTTCTACACTTATGTTTTAACTGTTGCTTTTGTTGGTAGTACCTACACACACATGTGAGTATGTTTGCAACGATGTTATTGTTTGTTTAGATGTTGGGGTTTAGTTTTTGCTGATCGTCAGACGATAATTGTGACAATTTGTATTTCAAAACTAGCATACAAATACACACACATACATATGTATGAACATAATTTTTAGGATGCCATTGGGCAATTTTCCACTGATCACTACAGTTGTGTTTTAGAACCTGGATCGGACGGTCGGATTTTCTTTTGCTCGAAAGTAATAAGAATGCAACGTAAACAAATTTTAAGAATTAAATAAGGACAATTTAAGTGACTTAATAGCCAAGGATAATAGTGATAAAGTAAATTAGTAAATCCGCATTTTATTCCAATTTATTCGCACGCATTTTTTCCGTCTGCTCAAATCTAGAAAAGTTTCAGAGACAAGCCGGAAATGTATGCCCACCGACCACAGCAATGGGTGCTGGTTTGCCTTGCGCTTGTAAGTAACTTGGGTTTGCAAGCGAGTGCGATGCAAATACCTCAGGATGTCGAGATACTTGAAGGATACCAATTTGACGAGTCGCCAGAATACTACTCTACAGACTCAAATTATTATGAGGCGCGAAGTCTGCTCTCAGGATTAAAAAAGGCGATTCGAAACAAACGTTCGACGTTGGAATATGACCAGGCCAAGGGCTTGACACTACCAGGAGGCTCACAGGCAAATAGTCTTCAAGAATTTACTCAAAATATTGGCAGCCAACACATAAAAGTGAACGATAAGGAGGAAAAGAATGAAATGGAGGCCACAATGCCACGCGCAGAAAAACAGATTATGGACCCCGACTATGACTACTATTCGCAACGGCATATATCCGCCTGGAATGATGCTTATGGATCGCCCGCGCATGGGAGTGCATCACGACCACCAGCCGTGGCCGAGGACGTTATGGCCGATGCAAGTAACAGCTACGTATCCCGTGGACGACAAGCGCGCGTTAATTTTATAACACAGCCTAAAAAAGATTCTAACGATGGGGTTAAGGACTTGACAGATACCCTAGTACCCAAACCGCCAAATCCCAAAATTCATTATGATGTAAAATATCCATCTATCGCACCGGCATACAACTACGAAATGTATCCTTCACGCTCTTATGCGCCATACTTACGTCGTTACGACCGGTAAATTTTTATCCTTCCATAAAATACCAATCGCTTCTATTCTGTTATATATCTATTACGCTTTTATTTATTCTTCAGCTTCGACGAACAGTATTCGCGCTACGAGCCTTACAACTATGAAGACCACTATTTATATCGTCGTCATTACGATCCGTACGACAGTTACAGCCCTCGTATTCCTCAATACCCCGAGATGTACTACAATTATCCCGATCGACGCTACGACATACCAGAGCCCAGAGATTATGGTCCACTTTACAACAATGAAATCTACGACAAGACGCCTTATCCCTCCGGAATATATCCTGCTACTGATGGCTACACGTCCGCAAAATATCCCGAATACCCGAGAAACCAACGCCGCATAGTTTACTATGCGCATTTGCCGGAAATCGTGCGCACACCCTACGACTACGCCACACGACACGACCACTACGATGACATTTTGAAGGCGAACAAAGCCATCTCCGGCGCGTACAAGTACGACAAACCCAGCTCGGGAAGTGGAGGCTCCATCAGCGGCACCGGCGCAAATACCGACTCGTACGACTACATGAAGCGCGATAAGAAGGACCGCGCAACGCCAAAACCTAGCAAGCCCAGCGCCAGTGGCAGACAGTAACTGTGTGTGTGGAACATAGAGAAAGAAGGCACAAAAACCAAAATTTTCCGGTGGAAAATAAAATGTACTTCAACACACAAATCTAAGCTTATACTCCGTTTTTTTTTTACATAAAAATGTACGCATTTACCCGTTTTTATAATACTGTACCTAAATATGTTTGTATAGTGCATTCATTACGCTATTTAAAGTGAATGTTTCAATAAAATTTATGCTTTAGAGAATTGAGCATAATGAAAGAATGTTTGTGATATTGCACAGTTTATGATTTCTCAATCAATAAGTTTGTAAAGCTGCTGCCGATGAAGCGGCATTGAACCCTAGTGATCCAAATGCAGCATCAAACGTATTAAAATGACTTGCGGTCCGTATTCTTTACAGTTAAGTAATCAAAAGTAGGCAAAATTGTAATTTGCGGCTCAATTCCACCATGCCTTGTTCAACCCAAAGGACATAGGTACACCAACAATGGGCCAACAATTTAATTACATGCAATCCTCGTTAGTCTGACGGGTGTGTAAACTTTCGTGGGTGTGGCAAGCAAACTGCAATGTCACTCTTCAGTGACTCAGACGAGCTGCCTGCCAGCCGAAGCGGCGTGGGGAGGGGCATTAACAAAGAATTACATTTAATAAATATTCCGGTCAATTTGAATGCAACGTGCCAGTACCTTTCACCATCGCCGGCGACATACGAAACGGTCCAATGCTTTCGCTGCCACTCTGGTGTTTGGCAGCATGCCCCGGCCACAGATTTGCATTTCATTCTTTTGAGCTGGTCAACGACAAGAACAACGACTGGCAGCGTCACTTCCGACTGCCCACCGGAAATATGTTTAATCTCGCGTTAATAAAACGATGACGCGCTCACCAGCATTCATGTCATCTACGTACATACATACATATGTGGTATGTGAGTGGGTGTGAGTGAGCTCGTGTGTGGCAACCACTCAATGGAATTTCGAAATAAAAATACTTATTTTAACTTGTGGCTTGTAGCACCGGCCGCTCTGTGGGTCAAGGGAAGTGAAGCGGACGTGAACCATTTTAAATTCATTAAATAGATGCTCTTGTGCATGCTCGTACATACATTTTGAAATATTTTACCGAAAGACAAAAGAGCTCGCGTAAATAGCGCCGTTGGGCTGTGCAAACTCGCCAACAAACCGTTCCACCGTTAAAGTCGGTACCTTGCCGTCTGCGACAGGGATGGAATTTCAAAATTTCAAAATGTGCCTAATGGTCTCAAAAATAGTGCCAAAAAGAGGACGAAAGTGCCACGAAATTAAGTTTCTTTGAAGACGTTTTAAGAACAATTATTATAATAATTATTAATTAATTAAATTATTACAGTACAGCTGTTGAATAATTATTTTAGTACGGTGAGACAGTGTTGCCAATCTGCTGTGTGAAATGAAATATTTTTTCACAGCAGTAAATTTTTGATAACCGAAAACTTATGCAGAATAAAATATTACAAATTGAAGTGAAATTAATATTTTAAGAAAACATCTAACATCGTTGATTGCAGTTCATCAATTTAAGATTCATAATTTAATAAACACAATATATCGATCGACCTATCTCGGCAGCCAGTCCGAAAACGCCTTATCTCAAAAAACTTTTCAAGACGCCCTATTTCAGAATTTAATTGAAAAATACCCTATCTCTAAATTCGGTTCAAAAACACCCTATCTCACTTCAAAATGTATTGAAAATATGCTGATATAGGGCGTTTTTGAATCGGCAGCTGAGATAGGGCGTTTTTGAAACGAATTCTGAAATAGGGCGTTCTTGAAAAGTTTTTTGAGATAGGGCGTTTTGAACTGGCTGCCGAGATAGGTCGATCTTCCACTCAGATATCGATATATGTATACACAAATCCGCACTTCAAACTTTGAACAAAATTTTATAAAAAATTATAAAAATTCAGCAGGATTTCTCAATAACAAATTTTGAATTCAAAATTTTTAGGGAGATTCCAAGTTTTCGATTTTATGATTTTTTTCCATATAAAGTGTGTTCGAAAACGGATGAAAATATACGACAACGTCAGAAAAATAATATCAAAAATCATCGGGATATTGCAGAAACTTGCATTTTGTTTAGTGGACTATAACACTGCAACCTTAGAATCTTTCTAAAAGTTCTGAATTAAAAGCTTTTTGTTGCAAAAACTTACTTTTCGTACTGCGTATTCACAATAGAATTCAGCGGTTCCTAAATATTTCCCAAGGCCCTTATTTTTTAGTGCTTTTAATTTTCCATTTTGTAATTTTTTAACCTATAATGTGATATGTGATTTTTTTTGTTATATATTGGCATTTAATGCTAAATTTCTATATTTTATGCTTGTGCCAAAAGAGGATGAACTGTGCTAAATGTGCCTCTGCGAATGAAAGTGCCAAAAGTGGCACTATTGTGCCTACTTTTCCATCACTGGTCTGTGGTGGGCGGTGGGCGAAGTACAGGGGTTGACGTTAGCTTTGTTTGTCAATTTGCGCAAAGTTGACGTTGGGTTTAGCCAATACCGGCTGTGGTTGCAAGTCTATACAGCCGGCCATGGTGCGAGTGCTGACAGTTGACTTTGTTGTGCTGCCTTTGGTGAGTTGGCATTCAAAGAATCTGTGGAATTCTTAATTAAAATTACTGTACTGCTGCATGCAACAGCTTTCAACTGCTGGATGGCTGAGATGCTCACCAACAAATGTTTGTAGTGTTTTCTTGGCCCTTATTTGCAAAGTTTCGTTTGAGAGTTTCTTGGTAAGTTGTTTGGCAAGAGAAATGAAAACAACTCCCGTTGCCTCAGAAGTTTCGCTTTGTTGTAAGATTCGAGGCGATCTCCCGTTTATGTTGGTATGTTTTTTTTTTGCAGCTTGGGGACTTCTTCTGTACAACAGCTGCACTGGATTGTAGCTTCAAACGAAGCAGCAATCCCTTCCTGTTTTATAACGGTTTTAGCTATAAATATTGATAAGCGCGCGAGTCAATTTTAAATTTTTATGGCACTAAGATAAACGAGCTCAACATATAGATCTATGGAATCAAAAAGCCGTTTTCTGGGCCAACCGTCAGTTGAGCTAGACGACAACAACCAATTTCACAACTAATCTGTGCAGGGCTTTATGGCGTTGACTCCACTCGTCACTGTGCAATGGACCGAATCAAAAATGATATTGACGTAAAATTGGGGGTCTTAGTCCCGGTTTTGCAGATTTTTTACTTGCTCTGCAAATACTCGCTTATTATATCGTTCAAATTGCTCCTCATATAAATTTTGCGGCTTGGCAATTCCTTCGTAGCACTCAAAAAATTCCACTTTTTCCTGATATATGTATGTACATTAGGGCGGGTCAATTTATATGGGAGATTTTTTCGACTATAGGCGTATAGCATAGGAGGATTTTTTATTAATTTATTTATTTATTTAAGTTTATGAATTTCAATTCTTACAGACTATGAACAAAAGTAACTTGGTACAGAATATTAATATAACAAAGAATTCAAAAGATTCAAAAAAGCAATCCTTGAAAGTGAAAAATCAAGATCCTCATTACTATTAAGGGAATTCAATTCACGTAAAGCGCGAGTATTGGGGTCATAAAAAGGGTACCCATAAAAAGGGTAGAAGTTCAGAAGAGATCGCTGGGAAGCATTAGATCGAACCCTTTCCAGCAAGTAAGGTCAATCAATGACTTCAGTTATCTTATTATGAGTAAAGGACAGGCACAGTATGGACCTATGAATTTCTAAAGACTTGAGACTTATAAGCATGAGACGAGCAGAATAGGATGGTATGGGATTCATAAAGATCAGAGACCAAGGTGCAAAGTTAAGAAACATTTTTTGTACACATTCTATTCTATTGATAGCTTGCTGGCCACTTGGTCTCCAAATAAATTCTAAGTGAGACCTAACAAATGATAGATAGAGCAACTTGATGGTATAGGGATCAGAGAATTTAGAGGCTTTCCGTCTTACGAAACCTAGCATGGAGAAAGATTTAAAATTGATATAATGTATGTGGTTATTAAAAGAGAATTTTATGATGAAGGGCACAAGTGGATATATTGTACTGAGCAGGTATAATATTGGATATATTCGAGTAAGTCATTTGAAAGCACTTAGACAGGTTCAGTGAGAGACGTGATTTCTGGCACCACAAGTAAAGCCTGTATATATCAGTTGGAAGCTTAATAGCATCTTTTGGGGACTTATTACCTGAGAAAATCTTTAAATCATCAGCATAAAGCAAAAATTTAGCATATGAAAATCAACTTGTGATATAATTAATAAATAGTGAAAATTGGAGTGGTCCCTGAGGAGGCAAACAGTGGGTAGATGAAATACCATCAAATGTAACAACACAACGTCTATTGCACAAGTAAGAGTTTATCCATTGCAGAAAAACAGAGTGAAAGCCAAGACAAGCAAATTTTCTAATTAAGACTCTGTGGGAGACTTTATCGAAAACCTTCGAAAAGTCGGTGTAAGCACAGTCGACCTGAAATCAGCCGAGAAAGACTCAATGGAGTATTCACTGAAAGTAGCTACATAGATTCGATACTGTAGATCTATTGGCGACAAATCCATGCTGATTTGGGCAATTAAAGATTTAACCTTTGCATTTACTGCGTGTTCAAAAATTGTTTGAGATAGTCGAGAGCTAAGAAATGGGCATTTAATTTCTAACGTCATTTTTATTGCCACATTTTTATTGGTTACAACAAAGTTCAACATATCGACGTCTAAGGGGAAGATCGCCCTGTTTCCGCCCTGCTGGTTCGAAAACGCCCTATTCAAGATTGAAGAAGAAGATTGATTGGTTGAAGAACGCCCTAATTCCGAACTTGATTCAAGAACGCCCTATCTCAGCTGCCGATATATTGAGTTTATATTTGAGATAGGGTATTTTCGAATCAGCCGACAATATCTAAGTATTCTTAGCTGCATAAAAGTTGCACAAATTTCAAGTAATTTGCTTTTTGGTAAAATTCTAAAACTGGCCCATTCGGGATGCAAAGTATTTGCAAATAATTATTCTAATCTCTGTCCATTTCATTTTTACCCAATCTTTTTTCCTCCATGTAATTTATCAGGCCTTTTTGTGTTTTTTGGAATGTCACTGTATGCCAAGGCACGTGCGAGCTAGTGCCGAAATCAAACTTTCCGGCCCGCACCTATGAGCGCGGTTACCCACGAACGTGTACGTAGCGTAGC